AAAATATGAGGTCAGTTTGATTTCATATTTTTCTAAAATTATATATATATATATATATACACGTAAATTAAAATGTCCTTCCGAAGCGGGCGATGAGATTTCAATTCCGGCTGTCGACAGCTTCTTACGGACGACCCCCAAACAACCTCTTTTTTTGTGCCGACAGGTAGTAGGCGGTAGGGAGATGGTTGGAGTTGGTAGTTGGAAGCAGAAAGGTGTGGGGAAAAGCAACCAGCGACAAGGCTATGGCTTGGAGTTGCCGACTGAAAGCAGAAAGGTGTTGGAAAAGTAGCTTGCGGCAAGGAAAACAGTAGATGGCAACGAGTAGGTTGAAGGGAATATGAGGCTGGCGGTAATAGGGAGAGGGGAAATAGCGGGGATTATTACCACCTTGGACGTATTATAGCCGGTGCATCTTCTCGCTTTTGTATATAACCCTCGACAGGGAGAATTGCCTCAAAGGTAGCAAACGGAAATCAGAGAATCGAAACTTAACCCTAAATAACAAGCAAGAAATATATAATAAGATAGGTGGGAGAATAGGGGGAAAAATGGGCAGTAAATCCCACTTAAAGTCTTCCGCCCAAAATAGTCGGCCGGTCTAGTCTCCCTGCTGGACCGGACCCTCCTAACTGGACCGGGTTGGACCGGTTCAGCAATAGCCCCTGCATCACTCTCTCCTGTTTATGCTCCATACCTTTAGTGTGACTCTAGGACATATTCGGATGCAACAGTTAGAATTATGGTGTATGTTTCCAGTATTATATTTATGTTTTTTTTTTTACATCTTTTGCCACATTCATGTGCCTTAAACCAATCGTAAAATTTTGTAGTAGTATTCATATTCACCTCTTGTGCTGAGTCTGTCTTTTGTCATATGAACTTCTGTGATTTTCTTCGAAACTATAGTTTTCATCATCTCATCTATAACAAAGCAACATCATCTTTTTTTTTTGTTCTGTTAATTATTTGTTTGTTCGCGGTCAGTTCCAAATGAATTTATGCTGCTTGTAGTGGAGTTTTCTTATGTTAATTGTAATGAAAAGACGACATTGTAATATTTTCATCAATGAAGTTTCTTATATGTGCTGTCAAATTGTCAGGCTTGCAGCAGATTGGCCATCATCAATGCAAATTGTTCGCCTCATTGCTCAAGATCACATGAGTAACAAGTAAACTTTTCCACTTTTCTTTTACATCAGATGTTATTTTTTGTCTTCTTTTTAGATTGTTCATCTCATTGGCATCTTGTGTTATCATTTGTAATCTTTTTAGGCAGTATGTTGGTAAGGCAGATTTCTTGGTTTTCCGGACATTAAATCAGCATGGGTTCCTTGCACAATTACAGGAAAAGAAGCTTGTGAGTTTATCGTTAAACCATAATCTCTTGGAACATCGAATGGGCTAGTTTTTTTAATGTATCTTAAGTTTCTTTTTTGCGTGCTTTGTTTGAGTCTTAAAAGATTTATTTTGATCAGAAATGTTGATCCAGTGATCATATATGGTTTATAGTTAAAGATTAAGTGTTTGCTGTGAAGCAGGGCTTGAGGCTGAACCTGGTCCAACTGGTTCAGCAAGAGAAGGTTCGATCCAGCATCCTACTGGACCGGTCCCTCCCTCTTTTCATTGAGCGGGAATTATTCCCTCCTTATTTTTGTTTTTCGCCTACTCTTTTATTTATATGTACGTGCTTTTATGCCGTAGGGTTTAGCTTCTGTTATATTCTGATTTCAGTTTGTGAGGACAGCCACCGGTCCTATTTTCTTTTTTGAGGGTTGTATCAGGATAGTGCTCTAGCTGTATCCCTCTCCCCCATGTTGATTTATCTTCTGCGACGTCCACCTCCACTTTCCTTGTCGCTTGCTGGTTTTCCTTGCACCGCCGCCAACTGCCTTTTCCGCATTTCCCCACATCCAACTGCTAGTTCCAGACCATAACCTTGCTTCTAGCATCTTTTTCTGCAGCTTCCTGAATCTTGTCGCCAGTTCTGAACCTTGCCGTTGCCGCCAGTTTCGGACATTGCCGCCAGCATCTTTTCCCGCAACTTCCCGCATCCAACCACTAATTTCAGGCCTTCTCTTTGCCGCTAGTTTCCTACCCGTCTCCAACCACAATAATGCTTCCTATCTGCCCCTCCCTACTATACATGTAACACCCCTCCTTTCCACGACAACCCCAAACGCCACTCCTTCCTGCTACAACCCTGTGGCCTCATTCCAACTTAAATCTGCTGCTATAGACCCATATCCAGCCCTGCTGCTACCCTTGACTTACCATCTCACTGCTGACCAACCCTCACATGCACTATTACCTTGCCGACCAGCCATCACCCATCCCTTCGCTTGTTCCCCAATGTGTTTTTTTTTGTATGTTTGTTGTCATTTATTTCCTAATTTTGAAGAGTCTTCATTGTAAGCTTTGAATTTCAGCAATAAGATTTCTGTTTTCGTTGTGGTTTGGGCTATATCAGAGTTAGCCTAACCCTAATTCTATCATAGTATTTTTTAGCATCCCCCATGATCCAAAAATTTCTTTCCTACTGCCAAATACCCTTTTCACTATCACATATCCATAACCCTAATTCCCCTTTTGCTGATTTTGAGAGGCAACAACCTTATATCAATTATTTTTACCCTCTCACCGCCGAACCCTAAATCCTAGCTATGCACTAAGGAGATACATACCTTGGCCTACTTGGAAGGAGATAGAGCGAGATATCCGCCAACATCAGCAGAGGCTTCCGGATATTGAGGATGAAATCCAATGGGTGGTTACCCTCAACTGTGTTTGAGAGCATTGAAAGGGTGAACAAAAAAATCTGAAGATGAAGCGGGCATAAGATCAGTTTCTACCAGCTTACTGTAGACAAAAGGTTCAGGCTCTAGCTTCAGAAGGAGAGTTCACATCACTAAGCGACCTCCACATCTTACAACCAGAGTGTTACCTCAACATTTTATAGCTAGAGAACACTCAGGAGAACGCCCAAGACGACCCCGTTAGAGGACGTACTGATTCAGAGTGGTGAACAGATGAAATTAATTCGCCTTCCTAAATTTGTCACAGTCTTATTTGTTGCAAGTGCCATGAATTTGGGCATATTGATTCAAATTGCACAATTAGGGGGTGATATGCTTCATAAAAAATTTGGTTAAAGACACCATAGACACGAAAGACGGTGAGGACATAAATGAAGAGTACCGGCTTCCAGTTGAAGAGGGAAACGATGATCCAGAAGAAGATAGGACTTCGGAGAGGATTCTCAATTGTCACCCAACGAGGAAGAGACACCACCAATTCCAGTTAATCCCGAGATAGAGGTTTCAACTGAGGTAATAGTAGCCATTATTGAAGTTACTGATCTTGATATAATGGGCGTTTATGCAGAGCATGATATTGTGGTTTCTCGAGTCACTGTTTTGCAGACGTTGAGAGGAATATCAGCAGGACTAACCTAGGATGTCCAAAAGGGTTATGAGTTGGAGGAGCCTACATCGGATACAGAGCCACCACAACTAAGAGAAATGCAGATTTTGCACATGTATAGACTCCTTCCTAAGCTATCCCTATAGATGGAAGTCTAGCATGTCAGAAGTGAGACCATTTTGTGCCTTGTTGGGAATATTATGTGGAGTTATTCAGAGGTTATTTTTAGTGCAACATGATACCCTTCACCAATGTTCAAACAGGAAAGATGAACCCCAGCTTGGTAATGAGCCCAAGAAAATTGATGGGGATAGAAGTTCTTCAATGGGATCCAGATCCTATAGGTGAAAAAGAGATCTCTCTTGAAGGGGAGCTAGTAAGAGTGGTCCAGCCTACCACAAATTTCAGCCCAAAGTGGATTTCTCTTCACATACTAATTTATCAGTTGCACCCTGCCGGGTATGAGGAGTGGAAGCAGTAGGATACAATTGTGATGGCGCGAAACCTGATTCATGGGAATACTCGTCTATCTGCAGTTTCATCTTAGGTTGTGCTAAAGGTAGATATCTTTTCTATCAGAATGTGCTTTGGAATGACGTCTACTTGATCGACGTGCTAGACAACTTGACGTTGTGCTACGAGGAGCCAGAAGCTTCGATGAATAAAGTCGAATCTCCCCCATTTGGTCTCATTTTTACACCTATGAGTATAAACATCACATACATCATAGTATTATTTACATGAACAATAATCAATACCCCACATTTGTATAAAAATATAAAAAATAAATCCCAATCCATATGATTGCAATTCTCAATTTAGCTATTAAACAATATGAACCCTGTTTAGCTTGTAGAGCCTTGAAGGGGTCTCTTGTCAACCTGAATGATAGTCTAGATGTTGTGTACGAACTCATGTGTGCCTCCCATTAGGAAGAGATATTGTGTACGAACTCAAGCGTGCACCTAAGGCGCATTCTGATTGCACAAACTCGAGCATGTTTACCATACTGTCTAGCTCTTGCTTTTGTGTGTGTCCTGCTCTCTACTTGGGGAGTTGTGCATGTTACATGAGGCTGTTGTAGATCCTTCCAAGGTTGCTGCCGACCACCCATCTCTTTTTTTGTTTTAACTTTACTGTGTACAAATGCCATTCTCTTTTCCCCATTTTAAGTTACTTCTGCACGTTTTTATAATTAATCTCGCTACATTTGTCAGGTTCATTCTCCATTGATAATCTGTCTTCGTTACAAAATTTCAAACATTTTTGCTCATCTCAACCATTAATGTTAATGGTTGGATCTTCCTGAAGTCTATGGATTCTTCCCTAATAGACATTGCATTCCTGAGAGTAATTTTCTTAATCTATGGATTTTCTCTCTGAAAATGTTTTTGTAATGTATTAATGTTTGACCAAGTTATTCTTATCCAATATTAACCATTTGATAATGATATGTATATGGTTGATATGCTATTTGATTTATAGAGAACTTCCAATATTATGGTTAGAGACAATGTCAAAATGGTCTCTTCCACGTTTTGTCGATGATCATTTTAGTCCAAGAGTTTATGAAAGTGTCAAATTATGTCACGATCTGGCCTAGAGCTTGAAATTAATCAAGGCGGAAATTTCTTATTTATACACTATCAATTTAAACAGTCATTCTTCTTTTCTTGATGGGAACAAAAAACACATACAAACCTCAATTATAATTTAATGGTCATCCAGATAAAAATTTAAGATCAATAAAACCATGCTAAAAAAAATTACAGTGCAATTGCAAATCTTGATTGTATAAGTTTTGACCAAATTCAATCATACATGCAAATTAACAATTAAAAATAAATATGATAAAGGATCAAGTGAAGAAATCGTTGTAGTGTTAATTTAGGTCTCTCACCAATATAAGGAGATGATTTTCTTGGAATTTTGTAGTAGCTACTTGCACAACACAAGAAAATTTGACATCCAACAAGCACAAGGAATCAAAATAAGTCAAACTGAGATCATACAACCCATTCCCATAGGGATCAGCATATGTATGTTTGGAACTACCAACCAAAATTTATTTTGAAAATACTAACATAACATTAACTAAAGCAACAACAAAACTCAGAATGTTGATTTGCATCAATTTATAAAGCCAATCATATATCGTTGGGATGTGGCTAATGATGATGTTAGCGATTATTTCTCCATTAAAGTAAATGATTGTGATTCTAGATACTCTGAATAGGATTTTACGGACATCAAATTCTTCCAAACTCTACTTTTGCATGAGCTCTATATACTGAGTAGAGTCATATTTTAGTGTGATGTGGTACGCAACAAGTCTCGTCATTTTGCAATTTTATCACACACTGCTTCATTTTAAATTTTCTTATGAACTCTTGATGGCTATACGTTGGAGAATTTGTTTCAACCATATCATATTTACTATCTTATCGTACTGTTTATAAAATACTTCTTTGTTTATAATATTTTCAAATGATACAAAATCGAATCTTACTATTTATAGGAAGCAAGGGTCTGTTTAGGATTGTTTACTGCTTGAGTAATGTCAGTTTGACGAAATTCTTTTTTGCTGTATTTTAGAAATTTTTATCATGTGAATTACTTTTTTTGATTAGATTTGTTAAAGTGTGGTGGCCGTAAGAAAGTCGATGTATGATTTCTTAATAAAAAAATATTATTCCTTTATTTTCCTCATGGAAGCTTTAAAATCATCTTTACAAAAAAAAAAAGGAATAATCATAAAAAATAAATAAAATCTGATAATATTTAATATTTTCGATGCCTTTTTCCTTCCAACAGTGTGCAGTCATCCAACTACCTTCACAAACGCTACTTCTCTCGGTCTCCGATAAAGCTGGCCGTTTGATAGGGATGCTGTTTCCTGGGGTATGCTTTTCGAATGCTCAAACCATTTTATTCGGCCTATCGTGCTCAGTCTTTGAAAATATTTATTTTTATTTTATTAATATATATATATTTTTTAAATTCAGGATATGGTGGTTTTCAAACCACAGGTGTCAAGCCAGCCACAGCCACAACAACAGCTACAACAACAGACTCAACAAAACCAGCTTCTTCAACAACAACAGCAACAACAGTCCCAACCGCAGCAACAACAACCAATTGCTACCATGAACCAAACATTCGTCCAGGGTTCAGTCAGGCCACAGATGCTGCCTCAATCCAAGCTTCCATCCTCAACTTTGTCAAATGGGGGCTTTATGCCTTAACTTATATATTTTAATATGGAAAAAAAGGATGGATAGTATTATAAATATGTTTATAGAACTTTTCTGAACTTGTGCTAATGAAGTAATTTTGGTAGATTGATATTGATGCATTTCAAGTCATTTTGTTAACTGGAATCTCTGTTTGCGTATGTGAATAATAGTGTTCGAGGAATTGTGTTCTATAAAATGTATAGTAGTTATTTTTTCATATTTTTGATAATTAATCTTTTTTACGATGGATACTAGAATCCTTTTCTTTTCTCTTACAATATTATTAAAATATTGTAGATGGCTAAGTTGATTAAATTTTTATTTTGGTTATTGAGAATTAATAAATAGATTTATTTGAGATCTGAATCATGGCTATGGCTTGAATTTATTAAAAGAAATAAATGAGCACGGTAATTCAAACTAAAATATAATACTGGATTCTGTTAATCGACAAGTTCCTTTTATAAATTGTGTCAAAAGCATGTTTTGGTTTAAATAAATTGTTTGGTTCCTTCTATAAATTGTGTCGAAAGCATGTTTTGGTTTAAATAAATAGTTTGCTATTTTAAAATAATTAAACTTGTTTTTTTAAAATATATTAACATTTTAGTTATTTGAGATTTTATTAACATAAATTAATTGATTTAAAAATTTTTAAAAAATAAAAAAAAAATTATATCAAATAAATATTTGTATGTGAAAAGGTAATATAAAAAAAAAATAATTAAAATTGATTTTGATTAGCCCGTGTTTTGAAATTTCGCCAAATCCTCTTGCAGTCTTTTTTTAGGGGCTGCTAAGTGCGCCGTATTATTTTGTAGTTTTATTAATTCCGGTGTTCAATTAGTAGGAATATAATAGTTTAAAACAATTATACATTTAGAATAGCTTTACTTTAATTTTAATTTATTAGAAATTTAGATTTGTACTAATTTTAAACATAAAACTGTGTATGATAATTACTGCAGATGCTTTTTTTTTAGCATGCTTGAGATGCATCATCTAGCACTTCTTGGGGTCCTAACAAAATATGCACTAAGATATTTTTTTGGCATATCTTACATCAAAACTTATACCTCTTTTTTGTCAATAGAGGCAGATCAAGTTTACTAAAATAAATCAAATTAAAATTTTAATTGCTATATATAAATATATAAAAATTTAGTTAAAAATAATTTGTTTAAGAAATTACATATTTTTATTAGTCATTAGATGCATCTTACATTGTGTTTAGTGTATCTTCATCACATCAAAATTAGTAAAAACTAATTTTATATGAAAACTTATTGTAATTTCATTTTCAATGTATGTTGTAAGTGAAATTCAAAAAAGTCATTCCATTTAATTTCGTAACTGATCAATCTTCATAACTACAAGATGCATATTAAATTGTTAGTATCGAAATTGACACTTTCAATAGCGACCTAATTAAACCTTCTTGATAAAGTTTATTTGCATTTAAAAATTTTGAATGATCCTTATCCATTTCAAAGTTTTTATGCATAATTAAGAAACAATAATTTTACAATGTATTCTTTAAACATTGATTCGTCATCAAATTTTTTTCATTTGGCACAAATCTCGAAATAATTTTTTAGTAAGAAATATTCAAACTCCAATTAAAAATCACCGAGAACTCTGATTTCAGCAATTTACAATCAAACTGATTTGTTCGATGAGACGGACCCGATGGCCAAAATTGATTCAATCTGAAGCAACTTAGGCTCGGATCAAGCCTTTATATTATATTTGAAAGATTTTAGTGCATAATTGGAATATCAAATATATTTTTTATTTGACAAGCTTATAGTCAAATCGAGTGTCTCAAAAAGACGAATCCAACGAGCCAAATATTACTCATTTTTAACATTTTTAAAGCACTCAAATGTCTATAAAATATCGTACAATTGAGGGATTTTTTTGGGTCATGCGATGAAGCAGTCTAGATTCCTTTATATTTTATAGGGAATTTCTCTCAGGCTCTATAAATAGAGTCTCTTCATGAAAGAGGAAAGATAAAAGTTGCTCCTATTTTCTCACTAGTCACACTTTTAATTAAAATGTTACATTTCTTATGCACCACTCCATTCATTATAAGGGAGGGTAACTTTATAACTTCATATTCACAAGTCCAAATAGGATAAGTAGGATATCTATAGGTTATAATATTTTTAATAGATAGCAATTTTGTAGGAATTGTTTGTAGAACTTCAACCTAATCCTAATTCCCGGCTAAGAACAAAAAATTAGTAAATAGAACTTTTCTCTAAATCAAATTCCCTCACTCCCTGTGGGATCGATATTTCGAACTAAAAAAATTTGATATTACTTATTCGACATGTACGCTTGCATGAGCCCTAGAGTGCGAGTGCATTAGGAAACAGTGTCGAGTTTTTGGCGCGAAGTGACGGTGTATTTAACTTAAGGGAATTTAAGTTGAACCTATAGAGCTTAGACTTGGAAAACTTCAGTGTGTTTTTGAATTTTTTGTCTATTGACTTGTTTGTGTGCTTGAATTATACCTAGTAGATTCCTTAGTTTGTGTATGCGTAGCTCAGGACAAATTGGACTTCAACAATACAATTAAGAGCTATAGACTATTAGGAAAATAAGAAAATAGAAAAAAATTCAAGAACTTGTAGAAGAAATGACGAATAACCCACAAAATAATCTCGAAAACCATGAACTAATTCACGATGCACACAGACCATTAAGGGGCCATGCTAATCTTACAGTAGATGAAATTCACTTAAGTATTTAAATATGCTAACACATTCGAACGGACCCGCTATCATCCAAATGACACAAGACAATCAGTTTGGGGGAACCCTTTTGAAGATTCAAACTTACATTTAGCAAGTTTCTTAGAGCTCTATGCTACATTCCGCTATAATGACATATCCAATGACGTTGTTAGGCTTAGGATTTTTTCCTTTTACCCTAAGGGACAAGGCTAAAATGTGGTTAAATTCATTAGCATCTGATCAATAAGATGTGAAGTGATTTAGCTAAAAAATTCCTAGATAAATATTTCCGCCTTCAAAAATAGCTAAATTAAGGAATGATGTTAATACATTTTGCCAAGATGATGGTAAGCCGATTTATGAAGCTTGAGAATGATTAAAGAAACTTTTTTCGGAAGTACCCTTATCATGCACCGCCCGATTGACTGATAATTTAGGCTTTCTACAATAGTTTAGTATGATCCATTAGGTCAATTGTTGAAGCTATAGTTGGTGGATTGCTTATGTCAAAGTCATTTGATGAGGCTTATTCTTTGATAGAGGATGTGGCTTCAAAAAATTTTCAATGACCTTTTAAGAGAGTGAACCCCAGAAGTGGCAAGTGTATATGACACTGACGTGCTTTCAATTTTAACTTCTCAGGTTGTTGCAATTTATAAAATTTAGACAAATTTAAGATTAAACAATCTCAAAGGCCACTAAAAATTGAGGAAAATTCATACAGACAACTAGTTGAAGCCAAGACTACATTTTTTGAGACTTTAAATGCTATAAACAATAGACCTAATAATGCTTATTCTAGTTTCTATAATCTCGGTTAGAAGAACCACCCTAACTTTAACTAGAACAACAATCCTGATGAGGGAAACCAATAATGAGGTACTAACTAAAAAATTTATTTGGTAATTGAAACAACCAGGGTAGTTCAAATCCGAGACTTTCTTATCCTCTAATACTTAACTATAATCCACAATTTAAAGAGAAGAAGTTGTCATTGGATGAAGTTATTTTGCAAATAGGGAATTAACTACCAAGACAAGGTGTAGCAATTAGAAATATTGAGAACCAATTGGGACAGATTGCAAACTCACTTAGCAGTCAACCCTAAGGAAATCTTTCTAGTAACACTAAGATTAATTCTAAGGAAAAGAACAATGAGCATGTAAAAGCTGTAAAGTTAAGGAGTGAAAAGGAATTGGAGGATGTTGTTCATAAAGACCGTGAGATGGAAAAAAAGATTATTGAACTTGAAAGACTTTCAAAGGATATTTCTAAAGACTTAGATAAACCAGTATCACCTACCAAAATTTACATAGAAAAACCACCACCACCATTTTCTCCAAGACTCTAGAAGCAAAAATTGGACCAACAATTTTTTAGAATTTTGAAATTATTTAAATAATTAACGGTTAACATATCTTTTGCTAAGACATTAGAATAAATGCCTAGCTATGTAAAGTTTATGTAAGATATTCTTAACAAGAAGAGAAAGTTTGAAGATTATGGGAAGTAGCACTTAGTGAAGAATGCAGGGCTATTATATTGAAGAAGCTTTCTTAGAAGCTTAAGGATCCCGTGAGCTTTTCTATCCTTTGTGCAACTAGAGAAAAATTCTATGGGAAAGCATTATGTGATTTTAGAGCCAATATTAACCTTATGCCACCATCTATTTTTAAGAGGTTGGGATTGGGAGAGGTGCCTCCTACCAATGTGACCCTTTAACTTGCTGATCGTTCGTCACTTATCCAAGAGGGCTTGTAAAGGATGTTCTAGTTAAAGTGGATAAAGTCATCTTCCCTATTGATATCATTGTATTAGATATGGAAGAAGATAAATAAATTCCTTTTAGTTTAGGAAGATGTTGACCTCATTTTTGGTTGAGGTTTAGTTTTTCCTCTTTAGTAGCCTAGGGTCTAGCCATAGGACTTTTCCTGTTGACTATTTCTAGAAAACTAGACTTGGAACCCTCACCATTAGAAATTTTACCCTCTTCTTTACTCAACTTGGAGTTCCACATATTGCTCCCAACCTCTATGTACTTAGTAGGTGGGGTCACTGTGGGGAAACTCAAGATGAGTCACCCTTAGGATTGCTGAACCTTA